CCCCTATGAGGACAGGCTGAGAGACTTGGGGTTGTTCAGCCTGGAGAAGAGAAGGCTCCAGGGAGACCTTACAGCAGCCTTCCAGTAGTTAAAGGGGGCCTACAGGAAAGATGGGGAGGGACCCTTTAACGGGGAGTGTAGTGATAGGACAAGGGGTAACAGTTTTAAACTGAAAGAGAGTAGATTTAGATTAAGTATTAGGAAGAAGTTCTTTACTGTGGGGTGGCGAGACACTGGAACAGGTTGCCCAGAGAGGCTGTGGATGCCCCATCCCTGGAAGTGTTCAAGGTCTGGTTGGATGGGGCTTTGAGCAACCTGGTCTAGTGGAGGGTGTCCCTGCCCATGGTGGGGGGGGAGGGGAGGGGCGGCTGGGCTTGGTGATGTTTAAGGTCCCCTCCAACCCAGACCATTCTATGATTTCATGATTATAAGGCCAGGTGTGTATGTGCAAGCTTGCCTTCTGTTGCAGACCAATGCCTTGTCCTGATGCCTGACTCCCCACTAGAGAGCAGCCACACAGCTTCTACAGGGAGCAAGTAGCTGATGTTCGGGACCTTGGAGCTTGGCATGACAGTGTAACTGTAGAAAGACAAAGTTTTATCTTTCCCATGAACGCAGCGTAACTGGAGGAAGATGACACTGCCTACTTGCAGTCAGCTCTGAAATGCCTGAAGTGCCTTCACTGGCCATTGACATAGGCAGCAAAGAGAGGGCAGAAAGAGGGAAGAAAGAAAAAGTGATTCAGAGCACCTAAATTAAATTCCAGGTACTATTATACAAGAGGAGCAGCGTTCTCTCCGTTGACTTCTAAAGGAGTCCTCTATGATGAAGGAAAGGAAGAGCAAGATTAGCGATAGCTAAATATCAGACTTCTCAAATGCAAGCTGTGAGTACTGCTCCTCATCATCCCGCTGTATACTAATGCAAGATTCTCTTCTCTGGTGTTATAAAACTAGCCTGCCATTGCTATGTTTGTAGCATACTTCCTTACCCGCTTGGTAAAAGATAGACTAAACTGACAAGGAACAAATAGTTTCTCTTAAATTTAGTAATTTGAAGTGCTTTATTTTTTTCTTAATTCCCTATACTCTTGTCATCTTTATACTTCCAATTTTAAAGGGGGATTGGATTAGACTATCTATCTCCAAAGATCTGTTCCAACCTCAACTATTCTGTGATCTTTTTGATTCAGTTTAAATGCCACTGTTTGAATTTTTTTGCATCACAGTCCCTGTCCTCATCCTGAACTCTGTAATGCTGATCATTTTACCAAATTCATCCTTTTTGATGCACCTCGTGAAAAAATCCAGCAGCAAAGTTAAGACTTTAGGTGCAATCTTGCAGTGATGACCTGCTTCCTTACAGAAAAGTCTTTAAAAAAAAAAAAAGCAAAGTATGGAAATGAAGAACACCCCCCCCACCACCCTTTTTATTACTGAGCATGATGCTATAAGGCATGGAGTAGCCCTTTGGCCAGTTCAGGTTAGCTGTGTCCCCCTCCCAACTTCTCGCCTACCCCCTGGGCAGGGGCAGAGTGAGAGGAGGAGACAGCCTTGACACTGTGCAAGCACTGTTCAGCAATAGCCAAAACACTGCTGTCTTATCAGACCTGGTTTAGCTGCAAATCCAAAACACAGCTCCATGCAGGCTGCTATGAAGAACGTTAACTCCATCCTCTCCAGACACTGCACAAAGTAAAATTAATTTTGATTTGGAAAATACTGCTTGTTTAGAAAGGGAGTTAGGAAATACCAAGAGTGACCTCTAACTAGAAAAACCAATGCATATTTTCAACTTTGTGGTGTTGCATGAGCACTTCAGTATAGAAACGGTTTTAGTAGCTCTCTGCTTTTCTGCACACTAAAACTTTTGAGTGCAGTGGACTGAAAGTCATCCAGAAACATCTACAAATCAGAATTTTGATCCACACCTTGGCACTGGTAACTCCTAATTAAAGGCAGAAGGGTGAAGGACCTACACAACTGCCAGTGTATGGGGCCTGTCAGAGGCAGCTGAAGGGTGTTCCCTCCTTGATCTTCTTTTGCCCTGGCTTCATATGGATTTGAGTGATGGAGGATCTGCTGTTTCCAATTCTGGGAAGACTTAAAGGTGGATCGATCACCTTTTGTTTTTTGGCTGTGGCCGGAGAGAACAGAGGGGAGCAGCCAGTTCACAAAACAGGAGTGTTGTAATGCCAGTCTTAGCGCTGAATTCGTTAACTCACAAAAAGAACATTTCAGATACGAGGTTTCCTGTCTGACAGCCACTGAGGAAAGGCAGAGGACCAGACAGAAGCACCCACGCAGCCAGCCAGCATCCCTACGCAGCTGCTTGGACCGTCATGGCTGAGGAGGTAGAAGCTGCCTTTGACCCCCACCCCTGCCCACAACATCAACCCAGGGTCCTTTTCATTTCTGTGCACAGCTCACTCACCACAACAGGTTGCTGCTCAGGGGATGGAAAACCTGCTCAGTCACCAGCCAGGCCTGGAGCCAGCACAGCTTTGCCATCATCAGTGAAATCAATCTCTCAGTGCTTTAGATTCTCCACCTGAAAAATGGTAATAGTATTAATCTTTCTTTGTGCAACCTTTTTTTTTTTAAAAAAAAAAAGAAAAATGGAAGCAAATGCTATTTAAATGTCTGTTGTTCTACTGTACTGTCTACTTCTTTTTTTAAAAAAATCAACTCCAGAATAGAAAACACATGAAATAAGCTTTGTAGGTCAACTTAGCCTACTAAAAATGTTTATGCTTATATGTGCACAAAGTATCAGTAAATCTCACCCCTGGGTTTACCTGCTGAACACACTGATTTAGCAAGAGCTCTGCAGTGCTGCAGCGCTGTCCTCACCCAGCCAGAACAGCAGCAGGGGGAGGAAAGGAACATTACAGAGCTTCAGAGTTTTGGCATGCCTTGGCTACAGAGACAGATAAGCATGACTTTCCCCCTTGGGTTTCTGCTCCCCTGTTAATTAGGCAGTTGCTATAAAAACTGCATGATTGGTTATTTATTACGCACAGAAGAAGAGGCAGTCTATACGCACGCCTGTCTGGAAGTTTATCACTACCCCTTGTGTCCTTTGATGTATGTGCCATGGTACCTGTCACAGGTCAGAGGGCAGCTGCATCCACCAGTTGTAAGGCTGATTTGGGGGTGGGGGAGAATAGAGGTGCTAAGGGTGCGGGGGGGAGGACCAAACACAACATTTTTATACAGTTGAGAGCAACTGAGAACTGCCACTGCACACAAAAAAACCTCCCACTGTAAATGCATGAAGCATAAAGCCATATGAAAAGAAGATGTAACATAGGTATTGGTTGCATTATTTAGAATGTAGCCTCGACTGTATGATCTTATACTAGATGTGATAGCATTGTGAAACCCTCCTGTTGGGTTTACATCTATTACCCTCAACTATCACCTGGCTCTGGAGGGGCAAGTGGCAGTTACTGCCTCTACCTGTCTCGTATTGACTCTGGTCAGAGGTAAAGCTGCCATCTGTGTAACAGAGCTGAAGGGTCTGCTAAGGAAGGGCATTGTGGCTGCTTGAACACAATCTAGCATAACTGAGCAGACTGAGTGTGTGGTGGTGTGTGATCTAATGAAGGACACCGTATGGAGATACACACTCAAATCTGTGAAGCATGGATCTGACAAAGCAAATTCAGGATAACAGGCCCGAATTTGCTCTTTCAGTGGACCCTACGGGTTGCCTCAGCCCTTTGCTTGGATACACTCCATGCAAAGGGACAAGCAGCAGGTTTGGCCTAAACCGACCTCCATCACAGACAAATAAACTGAAATACAGAATACCAGAAACAACCCTGTTCAACAGATACTTTGGAGTGTGGAGACTGACCCCAGCTGAAGCACCCTGAGGAGCCACAACTGTATTTGGGTGGAAAAGCGAGCTACGTCAGAGCTGAGTAGCACTCGAGCAATACCTCAAGATGTTTCTCAACACTCCAAATTGATCAGCAGAACAAATTACTCATTACTTTTAGTATCACCTAAAAAGCACTTTTCCACCTCCTCCAATTTACTTGCAAAGACTATAATCTGTCCCCTTTCTAAATTGACCTAGTCTGCAAGCAAACAAATCCCACTGCGTGAGGATCTGGGTGGCCAAGCACAGCACAAATGAAGAGCCATGCAGAACTCCAGCTAACAAACTCCTCTGAACCTGCTGTAGCATTCAAGGCCCCAGAGGGCAATCAGCTGCTGCCAGTGTCCCCAGGTGAGATCTTCCAAAAGGTAAGAACCCCTGCACTGAACTGCACTAAGCCAGTCACAGAGTAACACAGGTTGGCCAGCATCTCTGAAGTCATCTAGTCCAATCCCTGCTTAACGCAGGTCCAACTGGACAAGGCCCTGAGCAGCCTCCTCTAGCGACATTTTGAGGATCACCAAGGATTGAGATGCTACCACCTCTGAGCAACTTGTTTCAAAGTTTAGCTGCCCTTATGGTGGAAAAAATACTGTATCTGCTCAGTTTCCCATGTTGCAACTCTGTTCATTGCCTCTCATCCTATTACCGTGCTCCCTTGAGAAGAGTCTGCCTCTGCCTTCTCTACACTCTCCCAGTAGCTGCTGTAGACAGCAAGGCATTTCTCCTTAGCCTTCTCCTCAGGCTGAAGAAACCCAGTTCTCTCTGCCTCTCCTATGCAACACCACACATAGTCTGTGCTACTCTGACCAGAACCAGTTTTTTACTACACCACCAGGGCTCAGAACAAGTACACACCATCGCTCCTCTGGCTGCCAGTACAAGTATCTCTCCCCTTCAAACCCACATTTCTCCTTTCTCTGCCCCCCCCCCCCCAAGGAAAAGGCAAAGCTTTACTCAAGGAAGCCATAAACACCACAAGTAATCAGTTAAAACAGCTGACGTAACATTAATGAGGTTTTGGTTTAAAGCCAAGTGTGGGACTACATAAACCCCTTGGCTCTGCCCGTAACTAGCTGTGGAGTAAGTGGAGAGTGATCCTCACCAAAGAATTCCTTCCTGAGCCTGTGGGCCCCCACAGCTCACAGGGAAGTCCCCTGTACTCACAGGCTGCAGGAGCAGGAGGCAGCCCTAAACACTGCAGAGCCAATTTACAGATGGCTAGATCCTGATACACTATTTCCTCATCTGCAACAGGGCCACATGCCAGGGCATCCACCTCATCTCATCCAACATGCTCTATACTAGATGTTTTCCCACTCTGAAGAGTCCCATTCTCTAAGATATCACTGAGATCTCTGGAAAAAAAAAAATCTGCACAAACTACTCAATCCAGTTTAAATAAACTTAACCAAAATGCATCTTCACTTACTACCCAAAGGCCTATTTCTGTGAGCAGAGTTTAAAATCACATCCTGTATCTGTTGACATCAGGTGGTGGGTTTTATTCTTCCTTACATCACTGGAATTAAAGAGGTATCAGCATAGGTCTTACAGCCAAGTAACTAAGAGGGAGGTTTCTCTTTGAAAAAGGTGAGGGTCCTTACCTTGCTCCAAGCATACTACCAGAATTGCTGGCAAAGCAGGAGACCGTACCTGTGATAATTCCTCAGAAAACACTGCAAAAAATACAAAGTAAGGTTTCTGTGATACGACCTGGCCATCTGATTTTAACACAGAGCAAATACTGCTAAAGAAATGAAGTCTGCGAACAGTATGGTTAACAGCAAAACTCTTTCAGGAAACAGGCATGAACAAGAATATTAAAATTGCATTTTTAATTTTTTTAATAAAAGAATCAAAGACATAGCACTTGTTTGGGAAAAACAACAACGAACAACCAACCAACCCCCCTCAAACCCCAACCCATAAAACATTCCAAAGTGAGAGCTGACAGTAAAACATTCAGGAATTGTAGATTTACAAGCTCATGAAGCAGTTATGGTGAAATCTTACAAAGTCATGAGAGGAGTCCCACTGCTATGTGAGACTACCCGGAGACATGTCTCCAACAGCCTCCTATTTCAGTTTTGTAATCTGGGTACCACTTGCTTTTATGCAAGAGTAGTTCAGGCTGTATAGCCACAGACTAAGTCTAATCAAGGTGTTTCCACAGAAAGCTGTTGATGTCAAGAGTCACGAATTCATTTTGAGCACAAGTTCATGGCTTTTAAACAAGGAGAATATTTGACCAATAAGAAACATTATTTATTTTCAGGTTTACCTACTGCAAATACAAGCTGTAAAAAAAATCAAGAAGCAATTTATGATTCAAGTATTTAGACTCCCAAATGTTACAAGGTGTATTCCCTTTTCTCTGAAGAACTGAGCTAAGAGATAAAGTTTTTACCTGGACAAAATTTGGTCTAACTGTCCGGAACAACCTCCTGCTTCCACACTGCTCCAGGAACAAGAACAGAAGAAACTCACTATCATCAGAGCTGGAACTACTACCCACCTTTTGAAATGAGAGTACTGAAGAGCACAAGCATTCCACTTGGCTTCTGACCATCACACTTCTTCAAATACAAAGCATCGATTTTATTGCTTGCACTGAGAAACTGAGCAGTTGAATATCAGCGCAGTTAGACTATGTGAATACCCTCTTTAGTATTTCTTCTATCCGTTGGCAAACATATTGCATCTATTACAAATGTAACTTTACCGACTGGCACACCAAAGCAGCCACACCAAGGGTCTGCATTCATCATTTCAAGCTTTCTAGACCTCTTGCACTTGATCTGTATGTAAGCAAATAATGTATTTAGCAGGAACCACCACCACATTTTCATTCCTCACTGTTACATTCAATTTCCCTTTTTAAGGACAAAACTGCTAGCAAATTATTTCAAAGTATCTCTCTCTCTCCATGATTTTGGCATCATAGGTGCAAAATAATTTGTATCTTTATATGCAAAATAATTTGGTAGTTAATTCGAGTTCTCCTATGTCCAAACACATGGTTATAATACCATTCTCCTCCTTCATACCATTATTAGTAGAGATCTACTCAACCCCCCCAAATTTATATCAGAATGCCATTAAAATACTTGATCCCTTAGGTATGGTGTAAAATCATTACTTTTTAGATCATTCTGTTGTGCCAAAAGCTTGGGCAGGGTTCCTCCAAAACACTATTCCCCTCTGCCTCCCAAAATTCAGAAACAAAATCAGCACCGAGTTATGTTGATCAGCTTGGAGCAACTTCCCCCCCATTACTCCCTTCTGGACCAGACACACCATAAGAGACCACTGGTTCTGCAAATTTGTCAGGGGTATGTTTGAAGCATCTTTCAAACTGCCAGCACACTTCCCTTCCCCGGTGCAGTCCTTTTTACCCAGCATTGACCTTCTGTTGAAGTTTCCATTAAATGGTTTGGTTCCAGTACCCCCAAGTTCAGAGGAAGGGTAATCCCTGATGAAAGTCTCAAACTCCTACAAGAATGGATTATTTCTAGAAGACAACCAGCTGTACCGGCTAGCATTACTTGTTGTCCACTTCTTCAAGGTACTTCCTCTTTCAACGACACCATTCTTCCATGGACTAGGTAAATACACCTTCAAGTTTTTCCTTTTCTGCAAGGACTCCAAAACAACACAGAAAGTGCCACGTTTGTCAGAGATTCCAGTTTGTCACAAATCATTATTTGGCATCAGTTTCTCCAGGTCAAAGGCAAGACAGAATGAATGTTTACATTCAAAGCATCACCTATTTACTGTGGCAGCAAGGAAGACAAATTGATTATTAGTAGAGATTTATAAGCAGTAGCCCAACTGTTCTGGTATTTGATAGCTTGTATTTTGAGGAAGACTTAAAAGAGCACAATTCAACCTGAGCTAATACCAAGCTCACACAGGAGTGGAGGAAGAATTTACTAGAGTACACTTAAACTCACAGTGTAAGACGATGGTCTCTTTGGAAAAGAGAAACCTCTGCGTTAAACCAAACTTTTCCGAAGATTTCAGGCATCTGAACTAGTACTAGGGTCCTTTAGAAAGCAGTTCAGAAAGCTAAGTAATAACTATGGAACAGCTTTTTTTTTTTTGCTGATGTGGCAATAATGGCAACCAACTTTCCCCTGAAACCTCAACTGAAACACTATCAATAGTGCAAGTCAGCTCCCATGCTCCTCCTATATCCTCTATTATCTTCTACACAAGCTCAAACAGCATGTTCCTGAACGGCAACTTTCAGCATACAGATTCTCAAAGACCGTGGAAGCAAACTAAATGGTTCAAGACCAGAGTGGGAATGGAAGAATCCCACTGACCAGCGTGAACAAACAGGTACCCCACCTGCATGCTTCTCGTACAAGGACACTCTGCTAAGAGCACACAAATAAATAGACAATGAACCTGGACTTGAGTATTGGGATAGTTTAAGGTTCACACCAATCTGGCTAACTGACCTTGCCCCAGTCAATTGGCTTACAGACCACCCATGATTTTAGTAAATATTTACATGTGTTGTATGCAAACATACTGAACCTGAATAAACTTTACCACCAAGATTTTCAAGTGCAAATGTATATAGGCTCCCTTAATTCTGCTCTTAAAAAAAAAAAAATCAATTGCTTGCCCCAAACCCTAGCCTGCACAAATTCTCTGAAAATAGATAATGATTAAATATCAATCTGAAGGTTCACAAGAAATGAACTACTTAATTAAATGAAACATAGCTTCAAACAAGCAACACTGAATCTGTTCCTCCATTAAAGAGGACTAAAAGTCCCTGCATAAAGAAAGCAGTAAATAAATGTTAGAAGTACTATTAGTTAAGACATCAGACAAAAACAGATCAGATTCCCGACTTGCTATTTTTGTCTTCACATAATAACAACTCCATTTGGATGTTCAAAATTCAGCCTGCCTCAACATAAAATATTGCTTTCTACCTGCAGTGTGGTATAAATAAAGACAAGACTTTCAGTCTCAAAACATGTAAATTACTGATGTATATGGACTGTCAACTGTCATGGGTTTGTTCCAATGATCCATGATTGCTTCAAATTAAGCACAGCTGAAGACTGTTACAGATGCATCCAAATGTAGGGTTGTTTCAATAACTTAATAGCACTTCGATGTTTGCCTTGCTGAATTCTTCGCTGCTGAAGGAGGATCAGAGTCTTCAGTTTACAGCAAAAAACAAAACAAGGCAGTTATGAAGATCATGTAACGCAGAGCTCTGAAGCCCACAGTGGAGGTTTACTGCAATATGGTAGTCTGCTTCTGGTCTCCTGAGCACAAGCAGCTGCTGTAGCAGTTGCTCCCTCTTCTTCTGCATCTTCTTTTACCTCCCTGAGACCTTCTGCTTCTTGGAATGGATTCTCCAAGAGTTTCAGTACATTTCTTACCTACAGAGAAAACATAGCATAATCATGTGAATTTAGAAAGTAAAGGCAAAATGATGTAGAGAAGAACCTCACACCAAATAATGATCGAGTATATTTTATTTAATACACGAACTGCAGAGAAACCAAGTATTAAATATATGAACAATATGCATATCAAATAAGCTGAAAACTGTAAAATCATAACTGGCTGAGTTTGTATCTGTATGGAACTCAAGCTCAAATAACTTGAAATGCAAGTATAAAATACAAGTTCTTATGCCATTTCTCGAAATAAATTAATTTTCCCATATTCTGCATGTAAAAATCTACATGCTGAACTCCACAGGTAAGAGCTATTAAGTTTTAAAAGACAACACTTAGCACAGCAAGGAACAAGTATGAAATAATCCCCAACTGCCTCCCAAGGTGAACACCACTCTGAAGACAGTAAAAGCAGGGTTAAGTGTCTTGTCCTGGGATCAGCCTACAAAAGCTGATGAAGTTCAGATTGAGGTTTTCCATTCCTTTCTTTGTTCTGCAGTCATTAAAATTACAGCTCCCTCAAAAACGATACAGACCTTCTGTACAGTAAATTCCCAGCCCCCTTACTGCCTGAGATGCCAGAGTGAATCTCTCCTAGCATAATGTCAGTTATCAACAGCACCACTACACATCCACACAAACCTAGAGAGATATTAAGTAGTAATAGCATACCTCTGAGAAATCCCCATTTTCAGCTGCTTCTATGGCATTCTGGGCAATATAATTTCTCAAGATATATTTTGGATTGTTTGAATTCATAACCTTCACACGGTCAGTGTTCCAGGCATCAGCATCACTAACACTTTCTATTTCTTTTTGCAAACGGACTCTGAAATTAAGCAAGTGAAAACAACTGGTTTGGATCAAGAATCACATGTAAGAGCTGACATGTCTCCTTGCCTTGAGATCCTTAGTTCACAGTTCTTAATAAATACCACATCACCTATAATCCTCTCAGTTTATAAAATACAGCACAACAAAATACAAAACGCCACTTCATTTAAAAGCAGCATTACAGACCGTCAGCAGGTCCTCACAAGGCTCAAGGAAGTGGCACACCTTGCATATTCTCGGAGAAGTCAGACTGAGACACCAGTGCACGGCCTGTCCTGCATTGCTCTGCAAAACTCATCACATTCAGATCTTGTCTTTTAAGTATTTCTACACTTGTTTATTGGCTAAAGCGTTTGATGGTCTGAGAAAAGTAAAGGGATGCAATACAGCTGAGGCAGTTTGATCTACCTTTTAACAGAAACACCTGCTAAAACTCTCAGCCCCACTGGAGAACAAGATCACAGGCAGCCATGTGAGGAAAGGAGTCCTGTCTAATCCACACAGCAGAAACAACTAATGCTCTGCTAAGGGGTTTTCTTTATAAAAAAATCTCCTGCTAACACTAAGTTTTTAGGTTTTTAATTTATGCCTATTAGAATAGTCTGGACATTTTTTTCCTGGCCATGATTTCTTTTACAGTTAGTCTTTGATTAAGAATACTTCTACTTGCTTTCTGTATTAATACATAGATTTTTCTTTCAGAAAAAAAAATTTAAAAGGATAAAATAGTAGTTACTGAGCACTTAAAAGCTCACAACTGAAATTAGGCTCTGCTAGAATCCACATCAACATTCTTGAAGCACTTTTAATACTAGATTTGATGCTAGGTGATTTCTATACCCCCACGCCTCCCCCAAATCTAGTAAACAAAATACAAAGATGCCCTTGAACTTTCACAGCAACAGAGATGCTGATCTTGGCAGTAGTTAATATTCTGAGTTGCATGCCCCCCACGTCCCTCCCAGTCTATATACTTTGCGACAGGGTTTTTTTCGTGAGACAGGCACATTGTTCTCAAATAAAATGCAGAAATAAAATACACAGCTATGAATACTGAGAAACCTTACCTGTATTTCTCCAGCCATTCTTTCCAGTGTCTCTTATTTCTGCTGAGTAAATCAGCTGCTGTTAACTGCTGCAGTTTAGAGAATTGTTCAATGCGTTCTAATTCTTTATTTATATTAGCTTTTGTTCCAATTAATGCAAACAGCTGAGGATTAGACTGAGCCAACATTAGCATCATTGACAGTTGTCTGGGAACAAAAGGAACAAACACATTAAAGTTGAGCTGCCTGTCAAGAACCATCTTTTTGCAACCATAAAGTAGATATGAAAACATTCACAATAACCTATGATTTCACTAGAGAGGTTAAATAACAGTAATTCATAATTAACAGAACAATTTTTTATTATAAGTTATGCTAATTTTACTGTTCCTTCCCCCTTATTCAGTGCATTTATTCAAATTCCTGTGGTACATACAGTGCAGACAGTAGATTTTCAGAATTAACAGTTGGGTTTAGATGTACAATTCTCATCAAAATACCCTGGGAACTTTGAAAGGAATTTGAAATAAGGAGTTCGATCTTACTTACATATCAAGATAATACAGAATCCATAGTTTGGGGTTTTTTTTTTAGTTTCTTTTCCTAACTTTAATACTGTAACAGCATGCAGAATAAGGATCTAACACTACTAATCTTACCAGTACTAATAAAAACCTGAATGATATGGGGAAAGATACCTCACTTAGGTCACATGAGACAACAGTTTGCTTATTTAAATTTTTTTAGTTAGCCAGTCTGAATCAAAGAACGAGAACTGCTTTGCTCTAATAAATACCTAGCAGTATCCCAGCTGTTTTGCTGTGAGTTTGACTAGGGTTGTATCTTTTTACATTTGACTGTGTTAGCTGGTGTTGTACAGTAGCTTCACCTTATTTTTCAATACTGTGTTAGCTAACTTTTATTTTTCCTGCATTAATAACTGCAGTACAGCATAAAGTAAAATAAAAAACCAAAGAGTGTAAGTTGCAGTTTATCAAAATAAACTAAGTATTTTCATTTCCTTCTATGAATGCATTTATGAACAAAGGAGAAAAGAAACATTATTCCCTGTCCTCAAAACAGACAACTCTTTATATCAGATTTTCCTACTTTTAGTAAGCAGAGATAACCTAGGTGCTTTGATTTATGAGTTTATATAAAGTACTATCCAAATCTGATTCATGCATCTGGCATGCCCACCTGTATAATATCCAAGTGCTGTGATAAAAAAAAATCAGTTATGCACTTACTTTAACACAGTACTATTCCCCTCCAAAGCTTTATATCCATATCATGATTTATAGCTACTTTTCACATTCCTCCAAGACTGAATGCAGTGTTTAAAAAAAATTCTCATCTCTATCACACGAGTTATCTTCATATTGCATGATATCTGCCTACAATTTCAAAGTAGCTGAAATCTCAACCAATTAAATAAGCACTATCCACCACCTTAATTTCTTTGCCTTTCATTTTAGTGTATCATCACAAAAACTTAAATAACCAGTAATACCTCCAAAATGATAAAAGGCTACAGCCAACCATCTTGGCATAACACCAAACTTGTATGAACAAGTTTCACACCAGACCATTTTCTTAACTCCCTACCTTCTGCAAATTGTGAACTGTGACATCAACACACAGAAAAAGCTGAAGAATTTGGTAAGTTAGTTATCTTCACGGAACACTTATTAAACCGAGAGAGGGGAAAAAACGTATCCAAAATACCCCCACTTAAATTTTTTTTCCCCCCATCTGGGAAAATGCTAGGAAAAAAAGTGACAAATTAATGGATCACACTCATTCCGTTTTCCACCGCTCCAAAAAGCAAAAAACTGCTGCAGTCACTGTTGTAAGCAGCAGTTGAACAAAACTTACTATTTTTCCGCGCCCAGAGTAGCTGGACTGGAGAACATGGCCCATCAAATGGGACATGGACAGCACCACAGTTTTCAGAGCCTGAAGTGTCCATTTAGGTTATACTTAGCCTAGAACATTGGTGGCTGAAACTCATTATTTGCAGACAGTACATTGGCAGAACACAGTAGCATTACTGTTCAAATCCATTTCTTCTATAAAATATTTCTGTATCACTTCACTATCTGGCACTCTCACAGCCTTAGTCAGCAGAGACAGGGGAGAGAAAAAAAAAAAAGAACCAAACAAAAGCTCAGACAGCTTTAGCCCAAGAGCCAACTGCTGCAAGTCACTGCTGAGCATTCACCAGTCACAAAATACACAAGAAATTCCACTGCTGTAGATCATGATGCATCTACTTAACAGTGAGATTTCCAAATTTAAAATTAGTCAAATATTACACAGCATGCAGAGTTCATTATGGTTATAGTGAAACTAAAAGCACAGGCCAAAAGCATTTAAGTAAAGAAGAGTATTACCTTGGATCCATCTGCGGTTTGAAAGCAACTTTCAGTTCTTCCACAGAAGCACACTGACTTGTAAGCTCATCTAAGAAATCCTCCAATTTTGATGGATCGGAGTCTACTGAGAATGAACTCAATAAGTAGAAAATATTTGTGAAGTCTCCACCTGAAAAAGTGAATTCTATGAGTAATGCAACCAATAAATCAGCAGGAAAACAAGTCCCATACCTCCTTCCTAACTCCCCCCCCCACAGCAGTATACAGGTCACCACTCTAAAGAGGCAAATAAACTGCTCCCTCAGCGAGGGTGCCGATGTGAGATAGGGGAGTCCTGTATAAGGCAACAACTGCCCCACAGTTCACAAGAAAATAATTATTTTTCAGTCTTTTGTTCTTCTCTCAGATGACAATGTAGTTACGCAAGGCTGCTTTCTTGTAAGGTCAAGATATAAACTACATTTCGGGTTGATTATAGATACTGATGGGCTATTAAATAATAACCTTCTGTGGTCTTCACCAACCTGTGAGATGCATAGTTTCGAGGAGTTCAGACATCAGCTTACTATCTTCTTCTAATTCCAGCTGGATTAGGCCTAGTTTCTTCCTCATCTTCTGCAAATAATGTTTCTCAAATTCTGCATCATATTCCTCTTCTAGGATGAGTTCACTTATTTCCAAGGGCAGCTCTGGAACTAGAGCTTCAGCAAGCTTCCCCAGGTTCCACTTGCAAATCTCTGGCTGCTTGTTATAAGCATAGCGCCCTGTATTATCAGAACCATTGCAAATGTGCTCAGGGTCATATCTACAAATGAAGAAATAGTTAGCATTCTTCCAGTTATCTGGACACCAGTACTGTGAGAAGTATTATTTTTTCCCATTTAAGTCTCCTCTAGAAAACTAAAAAATTCAAAAGGGAACACTCCTTCTGGATTCTTTTCCCAAAGTTACCTCATTACATAGTTTCCTGCCCTCTCCAACACTGAGAAACCCCAAAGGCTACAAGAACAGTCTAACAGTTAGAGATGTTGTGAATACAGTTAAAAAGAAGCTGAAAAGAAGAATTACAGGACAACTAGAACTAACAATCTACTTTGCCATAAAGAGAGTTCATAAATCTACTTTAGAGTTAAAATATTAAAACAATCGTGAACATCAGGATTGTTCTCCATAGCAAATACATACGCACATTTCAAATAATGATGCCACACTGACCTGTCCATAAATCCAAAAGGGCCGTAGTCAATGGTTAGTCCAACTATGCTCATATTATCTGTATTCAGCACACCATGACAAAACCCAACACACTGCCATTCAGCAACCAATCTCGCTGTCCGTTTTGTTATCTGAAAGAGAAATTTTTTTTTCTTTCTTTTTCAACACAATGTATTTCCAATACATTCATGTATTTCCCAGCATTTCCTAGTCTGAACTGATGTTTCTACAGCTCCGATGGAAGCAGATTCTGGCAGTATGCCATACACACAAAGATCTTGAAGGACAGCTTGCCTCTCTCTTCCTGTTAGTAACTGCCCCGTTTCTTGCCCTGCCCTGTTTGCCTCCTCCTCCTTCCTTCCGTGCTTGACTTGCAAGTCAACTGGACAGCTTTAAAACATACTGGAGGGAGGCAGAGGGCTGAAATAAGGTAAACTGTTTGACACCAGACTTGCGTGCTATTCTAGTTATTATACAAATATATTCTTTTGTTTACTACTAGTTTTAAAGACCCTTTAACTACAGGCAGGAGAAAACATAAGCGAAGTCTAAGGAATAAAATTAACTATATGCAACAAAGCCCAATGTTAAGTTAGTCTTTTGGTTTAATGGGTATATAGGAGTGATTTACAGGAAGGTTAAGTGGTTTACACAAAAAAATTATTCCCTGCTAACGAGTTTTACCACTGACAAGCACTTCCCTCAGTTTGCTGAGAGTGGAAAAAAGCTACAAGGTTAAGTAAAAATCTTCCAAGAATGACAATTTTATTTAAATGCTTAATTTAAATTCTTCAAGAATTCTTAATTCTTCACTGAATCCATGCTCCACCAGAGTTTTTCCATTACTTAACTAAGAGTTATTGTTATAGAATCCTTGACTGCAGTCACTGCATGTGCCCCATTCTTCAAATAAATACTGCAGTATTTTAAGGTAGTTCCAGTTATTTAATTAAATTAGCCCACCTGTCAATTACCACTAGATATGCCCTATGGAATCTAAAATTCAGGAAGCTAACCTGGCTTTTAAATAAGCCTAAGTATATCTAAATACTTTACTGAATTGCTGCAAGTAAAAATTTTATGTAGCCATTAGCTAAAACTTTTAAACCAAACTACTTTCATAGCTAAAAATCACTCATCTTCCCAATGTACAGAAATTTTAAGCAACTATTCTCTCCAGGCAGCAGTGCAAGTGTATTTTATTAAGGTTTAAAAACCAATCTAGTTAATAGAGGAAATGTTAGTTTTATGCCTCTGTCTTCAAACCCAGAATTTTTCCATTTTCCATTTTTTAAACATGTGCAGTCAGGTAAGGAAAAAAAATTAGAAAAATCTTGCCCTGGGATAATCTGACAGGTAGTAAAACCCACAAATGATGCCTGGAACAGAAGCTTCTGGTTCACCTTGAAATCCCATGTTTCTACTTTGTTTTTTTTTTCCTACTCTTTACAGTATTCTCATATTAGGTACTTTACCTATTTCCCCCCCACTTCACGGGGCAGTCAGCAGCCAGGTACATGTGTCCAAAACTGATTACTGGCATGCCATAAACCAGTAAGGGAGACACACCCTGTACAATGCCTCTGTGCCAGGAAGATGGTAAAACTTAAAAATAAAAAAAATCCTGGCCACCAGAGTTAGGATGAAAGCACTCCAGCAGTAAGACAATTCATGACTGCTGGATGTTTTTGTATGAATGCATCACGCATTGTCAGTGTTCTGGTAAAAAAGAAATCCTGCTGATGAGGAACACCTGAAAGCAATTAAAGCTTGGGCACCACTCAAAGATGGGTACATTGATTAGAAAGAGACAGCTTTGCACTCACTTTGACCTTTATTATTTTTGATCACATTTTTCTACTGTTAGCCATACTAGAAAACAAGTATGGTGTATATATAAATAACAGCACCATCTCAAGGACATGCTCATTTAAATAACACCTACAAATTATTTGAGCAGTACAGATAATGGTGTTTGCTTTCTAGACAGTGCTGTCAAATGCAATCACTTGTACTTTTTCCCTGTTTCTTCCACAGTGCAAAAAGAGAGATAAAGCATGTTAAGAGTTGAGCTGACAGCACTTCCCCGCTATTAAAAAAGATGGGACATGTTTGTCAAATTAGGTAAGGGACTGGGGTGCTTTTCAGGTGGAGAAAGATATGGGAAGTCTGCACTAAGGTGGAGAGAAAACATGAAGAGGCAACACCAGCACAGGCACGGAGCGCAGACAGGCACAAGCAGGAGGAGTACAACAAACAAAAATGGCAACAGGGGCAATAAGGAAAGGATGCGAGTACTGGGGGGAGGAAACCAGCAGTAACTGGGCCAGGAAAAACAGCCAAAAGCAGAAGGAGGTAGGACTGGGCACACACACACGTCCACAAAAATCCCCAAGTCCCATGACTTTTCTGCCATCAGAAAGTAAACATGCCATCAACTACAGAGCTGGACATGCGCACAGCAGGTGACAAGCCACAGTTCTCCTCATCAACTCCAATCCTTCAAATGCAAAAGGCCTGTCCAGAGAAGTCAAACTCTTCGGCACCCAGTGGTGGACCAAGCCACAGCTTGCTTTTGAAGAACTAATGCAAGTATGCACAGGTTGTGTTAGAGTAAAAGAACAGACAACAACAAAAAAACCCCAAAACCAACCAACCAAAAAAAACCCAAAACAACCCCAAAACCCCCACAAATTCAAACCCCACAAAACCTGGAGAATGTCAGACCTTAAGCCTGCCTTTTGACCTCTTATTGGTCTGTTATGAACATGCGTCATGTTGCAGCCATTCTCTCAGTCCCTACCAGATCAGTTCAGATTTCAAAGCACCACAACTTCTTTTACGTAGACTAGTCAACTGTACTAGACTGTGGTATATTTTTAATTATTCTGTTTACTGGCTAGTTATAACTTCTTACTTGGGTTGTAACATTATTTGAACTTCAGGTGATCCAAACAGTAGCCTTTATTATAGCTCTCCAGTACTTTCAAATTGGAACCCTTCTGCAAGGGTAGCATTACTATCTACTAATCACTAAAACACAGAGAAGCACCTTATTCCCTTACCCCAAATTCTTTCTTTGCTCACTGAGACAAAGGAATATAGTAATAGAAATTCAGTGTCAAGAATAGCAATACAATATCAACAGTGAGGCAAAAGGTATATTCAGGAGATAAAGTGCAGATACCAATTAATTTAGCTATGTTTTACTTTGAAGACAAATATAGTAATTCTAGATTTACTGATGTTATAGTTCTGATTTTTATGTTTAGGTTTTTTTTCTGATTTTTTTTTTAATAGATCTCCAGTAATTGTTAAGGTCTAAATTTATACAGTAATTGAAAATGGGTCTCTCAGAAGTCACCCAGCCTCTCCTCTGGGCCACTGCAAAATGACCCAATACTATGCCACATCTAAGACATATTTATCTCACCTGATCTTACCGTTCCCAAAGGTGGAGGTTTTGCAACTTCCTCAGGCAAGCCCTTCCAGGGCTTGACTGCCTTTAAACATTTCAATTCTAAAGCCTGAAGTTAAAAGTGATTTGCAGTCAACATTCCTGTTTGTAATTTGGAAAATGAGAGACAGAAAGTGACTTAATGTTCTCAGCATTTTGCAAGACGATGCCTTGCAAGGGGTTGTAAGTACCATCAACTCATCATCTGACAGTCAGGGCCAGAATTCCCCCTCATAGTGCAAGACACTCTCAGCAAAAGGAGACAAGTCTTGGGAAGCTCTCCCAGAGCAGAAAAATCATGATTTGTTATTAAGAAGGTTAAACTGCTTTCACTGATTTGATCGATATCAACATTGCTTTCATCGATAAGCAGTTCTATCAGGAGCACTTTCTTCAAAGAAAAGAACAGCTCAGGCAATCGGATGATACAAGGTTTTAACTGACTACAGTGATCTGTGCTTGCAGATGAAGTTCCTGAAGATGACTGCTATGGATTTATGAAGAGAACCTGATCTTTCTTACCTCTTTGAAGAAAGCAGCATTCCTCTGAATACTGTTGTCTGAATAAGCCTCCTGGATTTCTGGATAGAAAGTGCTGATCACATAATCAAGCATCTGTATTCGAATATCATTTCGGTTAACACTGGGACCCTTGCGTCCTGTGTATTCATCAGCAGGTTTAAAAATTTCGAAAGAACCAAATCTGTTTTAAAACAATGCAAACATGTTTTAGTATTATCTGATACTATTAACTTCATTTGATATTACATGTAGTAAAAACATTAACTGTTGTTGCAATAACACCACATCATCTCTTTGAGTTTAACACCAATCCTTCAACTGACTGAGAGAAAAGACCCGCAAGACTCCTACACTGAACGTAGCGAGGCTCAGTGACTCAACGCAAGGAAGCGCATACATCCACGTGTAACTACACTGACAGATCAAGACCCCAGCCAGTACTGAAGACCAGCTTGTTAAAGCTTCTTACAACCACTTCTATAGAAAAATTCTTGTCCTCACTAAACATACAGGAACAGGACTTATTTAAAATACTAGACTGTACATCAAGCATGTAAGATTTTTCCACATGTAAATATATACGTGCACACAGGCATGCACACATATATACACATGCATGCACATATTCTTTATGCTTCACCTTCCTCTAATATTCTGTTACCTTACAATAAGCCATGCAACTTCCTGCAACTCCTAACGTTTTGTGTCAGAGCAGGAACCTCGTACAGTTCTCAGGCAGGGAAAGTATACCCAAGTGTACTACATCAGCACTACTCTGAAATTAAGGGTAGAGCTATAATCCACCACTACTGCCAATATGAAAAAAAGCATGTATTCTGTGCAGGCATAAACATGAAAAATCTCTTCTGAGGTCTGCAGAACTGAGTTCTTCTTTCTACCAGGTTAGCATCCTTAGTGTTTATCTGTCCGTGTGCAAAAACACCAGCTCATCCCACCTGCTGGACAAGAAGAGCAGCTTCCTACAGTCCGACAAAAGAGTTCCAAGCCTCCAGAACAAGAAACATGCAAATGGTGCCATTAGGAAAATACACTTAAAATTGTGCTTTAAAAGAGTAAAAGAACCCAACAAAATAGGCTTCTACCTTATAAACGTAGAAGCTATTCTCAGAACAACTGTACACCTTTCACTTTTTGGATTCCCATCATAAAATACATCACGGACAACTTTCGAGTCGGATGTCACACACGTTCCGGCCCTCGTTGTTGGTATTCCTAGGTGAAACATAGCCTCACTGCACAGGAACTCCCGTATGCTTGACCGCAGGACTTTTCGACCATCAGCTTGTCTGCAACAAGAAGACACGGACAGTTTTCAGACTATAAAGGCAGGAACTCCTGTCTCCCCCATGGCAGTGGAGAAACAAAAGCCTAGAAGTGACATGCTCTGTCCACAGTTGCACAGCTAAGTAGTGGGAGATCTGAGAACAAAAGCTGGACCTTCCAACTTCTGTTAAAGTTCAATCAGGTGGACACAACACACTTGCAATGAAGACCACACATAGCAGAAGAAAATAAACCTTCCAGTTACACATATCCCTTCTAATCATTAACTCTGTTGTTTTTACTGACGCAATAGAGTCTTTCAAAAAATTAAAAAATTTAGGACAAGTTTAGCTATTTTATTACATAATAAGTCACTGGTTTCCTCTTAATAAAATGGCTACGGTTATGCCTCTTGAAAAATAGTATTATTTTGGAACTTACTGGGTAAATAATCTACAAATGGGTGCTAAATATGGGCACGAATGGCAGTTGCATTAAAAAAATCCTGAACGGACGTCAAATAGCAAACTAGCTCATTTAATAGATATCAAGTAAACGGAACATGCGCAGGTGGTTCTCAGCCCACATTCCCAGCACTTCAGAAGCCACAGGCAAGCAGGATTGCTGCCCAGCGCAGACCTGCAATGCTACCACCGTATCTGGGATTTTCACTGTGACTTCCTTAACCTTCACAGACCTGAAGAAGGCCTTCGGAGCACCACACGTATGAAACTAAGGTGTTAGCCAGCCTGTGCACAGCTGGAACAGAAAATACAGGAAATGCAAGTGGGGAAAATGACCTGAAGATGTAAAGCAGCGCAGGCTAAACTGACTAGTGAAGATACCCATCCCTTGCAGGGGTTTGGTCAGTATGCCATTTTGGGGGCTTTTCCACCACTCCCTCCCACAGCTGGGAAGGATGGAGGAAAGGCACTGCTGGCAGCAGGCAGAGGGACCAGGAGCACAAACAGAGCAAACACCCGCATTTCAGATACCATTTGCGCAGGCCAGAGGACAACACGGCAGCAAGCAGCCAGGTGGCCATGACACACTGCCGTCCCCTCTGTCCTCACGGTCTGCGTCCTCCTAAAGGGGGAAAAACCTCAGGGGAGGCTAACCAGGGACAGGAGTAACGCAGCGCCTGAAGGAGATGCAGTTAGTCTTATTCTCCAGAGGAAAACTCCGCCGCCTTCCGCTCCGGCATTTAAGCATTACACTTGGTGCAGGGGAGACAGAAAACACCCCAACCGCGAGGGCTTCAGACGCGACCTCTGCCTCGGGGGACGGTCCCCGGCACAAAACCAGCTGGAAAAGCACCCCGCTAACGCGATCAGCGGGCAGGGAAGCCCGCGCCCGTCCCCGCTCTCCCCCGCGCAGCCGGCCCGCCGCGCAGGGGGGGGGCTCGGCGCGGGGGCAGCGGGCCGCCGCTCCTCCAAAACGGAGCTTCGCCGGGCCGTTCCGCCACCGCCGGCCCCGGGCCGGGCCGCCCCGCGGGGGGGCCTTACCGGGAGAAGGGGGTGAGGCCGGCGCCCTTGAGCTGGATCTCCCAGCGCTCGCCCCGCGGGCCCAGCACCTCGCCCAGGTACATGGCGGCCCCGTCGCCCAGCTGCCCCGCGAAGCTGCCGAACTGGTGGCCGCAGTAGCAGTGCGCCGCCGGCTCCGAGCCCGCCAGCAGCCGGTTGCCGCTGAAGTAGAGCGCCGCCTCGGCCTCCGCCGCCTCACGGTCGGCCGCGGGCGCCTCCAGCCCCAGCAGCGCCAGCGCCGGCAGCGACATGGCCACCAGCCGCGGGTTCCGCAGCGGGCTGGGCCGCACCCGGCAGAAGCAGGCGCCGGGCACGGCCCGCGGCCCGCCGTCCTCCGAGGCGTCCACCG